GTGAGGGTTGCAATTCGGCGCCTTCACAGGTCTTTCGGCCATCTCCCAAACACTGTTTTGGAGCAAGTCCTTAAGCAAGCTAGAGCAAGCAAAGACTTTATAGCAGCTGCTCGCCTTTACAAGTGTAAAGTTTGCTTGGACACCGCTCCAGTGCCACGCCATCACCCTGTGACAGGAGACAGTGTGTTTCCAAAGGAGTTCAACCACACCGTTGGTTTGGATGCCCTTGAGGTTAAGGACTTCAATGGTACTCGGTACACTGCTGTTAATATTGTCGACATGGGTACCAGCTTCCAGCAGATAGTGTTGGTAAAGACGGGTGGTGGAAATCCAAGCGCTAGACAATGTGTGAAGTGTCTGGTAGATCGGTGGATCAGCTTGGCTGGACACCCGAAGGTTATCGCTACCGATAGAGGTACGCACTTTCACGGTGAATTCACACAATACTTAGCTCAGCATGGAATCGCGCATAAAAATGCAGCGCTAGAGAGTCCACAGACCATAGGAAAGGTCGAGCGACATGGCGGATTGGCCAAGGCTTTGATCCGTGAAGTCGTCCAGGACTCGCAACCTTCCAATATGGAAGAGATGGAGGTCATAGTAAATGAGGCTGTGACAACCAAGAATGAGCTTTCTAGGCATCAAGGGTTAAGCCCGTCGCAGCATGTGCTAGGTAAGCAACCTCGTGCTCCGGGTTCTGTTACCGACGAGTCGGAAAGCCTAGGCGCACTGTTGTCTAAGTACGATGAAACTAGCCCATACCATTTCCGACAACGGGCTCGCAGCGATGCTAAGAAAGCATTTGTTCATTTGGATTGCTCCCGTAAAGTCGCCAAAGCCCTTCAGCGTAACGCTGCACCCCTTGACATAGAATACAAGGTAGGCGACCATATCATATACCGCAGGGACAATGTCCCAGGGAGTTCGGCCACTGTGTGGTCTACAGTCAGCCGCGTCATAGGACGTGAGGTTCCTGTTCTTGTTAATTCCCGAAAAATCCGCCCAGCGGACGAGATAGAGGTGGCTGCTCACCGGGTATTGGCAGGTGAACCGGTTTTGCCGGAGGCTATTGTCCACGGGCCGGAACAACGGTTCCAGGACGAACGCGCTGCCGACCCGGTCACTGCACCGGCGACACCTCGACCAAGTGCTTCCATGGCTGCTCCGGCAACTCCTGTGCCGAGCATTGCCCCTGTTACACCAGTGCCTATTCCTGGCACGTGGATGTCAGCGCCACAGGCCCCTTCACGAAGTCTTACCAAAGATAAGACGGGCGATGGATCTGCTAGATCAAGGTCGCCAGTGGGTTCTAGTTCTAGGGATGCTCTGATGGCCGTCGGCACAGACCACGTGGAAGCCTTAGCTGGCCAACTCATTAGCGCGGAAGGGTTCGCACCGTCGGATTGCCCAGAGCTTTTGAGGCTATATGCCCGGGACCGTCTAGCAGATGCCCACAAACGGCCACTGCTTGACGACGGTGACCCCGAAGGCATAGCCCTCGCGTTAGGCGTGTACCGACGCGGCGGGAGAGTTGGAGTCTCAGGTCCTACGCGCGACCGGCCAGCGTTCTCAGCATATCTGAACCAATACTTACTACGCCATAGTGTGTATGCTGGATTTGAGAAACCGCAGTGGAGCAGCATACAAGTTGCGAATCGCGGCGCAGATGCACATAAAGACCTTGCTAATACGCCTGGATCATACAACTACACGATAGGTGTAGGTGCATATCGAGGAGGAGGTCTCTGGGTGGAAGACACCTCAGGGACAGTTCCTGCTAGAGTGCAAAACACAGTCCTATACGGAGTTGTGCACAATACTAAGGACAAAGTCTCGCCAAAAGTTGTACACATGGTTGCACCTTACGCAGGGGAAAGGTATAGCATTTCTGGGTATACCGTGAGCGACCTGGGGAAATTAACCCGAGAGGACATTCAGCTGCTGTCCGATCTCGGATACCCCATCTATAAGGATGCGCCCCGTGTGTACGATGCCAAAGGAGACGGTATCTACTCAATCGGTCACTCAGACATGACTAGCGAATCGTTTTTCGAACGATTGCATGAACTTGGTGTGGCTGAGGTTGTAGATTGCCGTAGCCATCCTCAAAGCATGAGGCACACTTTAACTATGAGGAGCTTGCTGCTACGTGTTTCTCTAAGGGTATTCTTTACTCACATGCCCCGGAATTGGGAAACAAGAATCACGGAGGTATAAATGCGAACCTCCAGACGCCGCAAGGCACAGTCACGACCGCTAGAATAGCTAGCGAGGCCAATGACAACCGCCATCGTATAGTTCTGATGTGCTCCGAGTCCAACTGGCGCCGGTGTCATAGGCAGGTTATTAGTAATTACCTTTGGTCTAAACACGGCAAACTCGTTGAGCACATAAGAGCCAACGGTGGGACGGAAACCCATCCTCACCACCATGTGCCCACAGAGGCCATAGACCCGTATGACGAGGCATACGTGACCGAGGAGATCCCCCAGCACTTGCGCGAACCCGCGCATAGCGGAGAGGAACCTCGGGATAGTCAAGAGGACGACCTTGCGGGCTTCGCTCTCACTCCTGACGGAGCTGAGCGTTTTGGCGTTGCCTTCAACACCGCACGCACTCCTTGCGTCTTTAATTGACTATCATAAGGCCTCAGTGGATGTCCAGATGGGGTTGGACAAGGCAATGCAGACTGAGTGGCAAAAGTACACTGAGTTCAATGCAGTAGTCCCTTGCGCTGACAAGAAGTTTCGTGAACTCACTAAGGCCGGCCATATCTGTATCTTCACAAAGTGGGTGTTGACTGACAAGAACGAGCACTTGCTCGGGACACCCGAATACGTACCTAAATGGAAGGCACGACTCGTTGCCTGTGGTAATTTCGAACATATTGGCCACGAAGAAGACATTCGTGCGGACAGCCCGACGGCGGAGCCAGAGGGGATAGCTCTCATATGTTCGTGGGCAGTTTCACTTGGTCTTAGAATCAAAGCTGCCGATATTACCAACGCTTACTTCCAAGGGAAACCCCTTGAGCGACTCCTTATCCTTAGGGTGCCGAAACATCCCAAAGGTGTTCCTGACCCTGCTATATATACAGCAGGCGGGATACATGATAGCACGGGTCCCAGTGTACGGTACTACCGACGCTGGCAGAAACCTGTACCTCCGTATAAAGGAGAGTTGCAAGGAATTTGGTCTTCGTGCATCCCAAATTCTATCCGCCCTGTGTTTCATTACGGGCGAAGATGGCAAACTGTGTGCGGCTATCTGCACACATGTTGACGATTTCTTCTGGGCCGCCACCCCGACTGGTGAAATTGTGGTCCAGCGTCTCCTTGATCGGTTCAAGATCGGTCGGATAGAGACTGACAAGTTTAGATTGTGCGGCCGTGAGTATATCCAAGAACCCGACGGTAAGATTACCATCAACTGCAGGGATAATACTCGCGCCATACGCCCGATTGATATCTTGAAATCGGAGAAGGGACATACCCCAGTGTCAAACAGCCATCGCACTGCGCTGAGATCTGTCATCGGCTCCCTGGCATGGGTTGCCCGAGCCACAAGACCTGACTTAGCCTACCGTGTAAACGCATTACAGCAGCAGGTCACGAAAGCCACCGTAGAAACGCTACGTGATGCCAATAGAGTGGTAGCACTAGCACTCAACGACGCGGAACGTCCAATCACGTACTCCGCAAAATTGCCATGGGCAACCGGCGACCTCGCCGTGGTGACATTCTGCGATGCATCCTTCGCAGGTGAAACGGGACATAAGTCCCAGAGAGGAAGGTTCCATTACCTTACTTCAGCTCCGATCGCAGCAGATCAGGAAGCGACTCATCATCCCATGCACCTTATTTCCTACTCATCTTCAACGATGAAGCGTGTCTGTAGGGCTACCTTACAGTGCGAAGCATATTCACTCCAACACGCCATCGAGCACGGCGATCGTATCCGCGCGGCAGCGCTCGAGATACAGGGCAAACTCCCCATGTCACAGCACTGGGAGGAGATCTCTAAGCGCACAATGCTACGTCTACAGTATACCGACTGTAGGTCGTTGTCCGATCATCTTACTGCACAAGTGCCAAAGCAGTGCGAGGACAAGCGCTTATCTATAGAGATGGCAGGAATGCGCCAGAGCTTATGGGAGGATGATACCCCCACGCATACTCTTTATGATCCACATGGTGACCACCTCAGGTGGATTCCTACACATTTGCAACTCGCTGATTGCTTAACCAAAAGCATGAAGCCACTGCTCATCAATCACAGTATTGATGCCAATTCGGCGCAGGTACGAGACGTACCGACCGTGAAGACAACTGGAAAGGATGAGGCTAAGAGCTGAGCAACTTCACTTTACGCCGACACTTGGTACAAACCAATGTGCAAGCCTCAGCACCTGTACATCCGTTGTACAACCGTGCGTTCCCGGTATAATCCGGTGTGACCCAATGAGGTCAAATTCGTGCATGTTTCGGTGACGCACTACAGATAAGACGGGTGTGAAATTTGCCTGTTGTTATCAGAACCGTGTTGTCACCTTCCTAGTTGCGGTACCAAATGTAGTACTTGAATTAGCATGCCTGCGAAGCCACGCATGCCTGAGCTCTGTTTTGACCGCGTACTGACGCAGCCGGCTTGAGATCAAGCGCAGAAAAGAGCTACAGTGTGAGGTCGGTCTCCAGAGAATCAGTCTAAAACCGCAAAACTACATAATCAATACCCCATTGGGGACCATCTGAACCCCAAAGTTGGGGTCGTATACCCTTTACATCCCTGTACTGCTATAATTCTATTCAGGAAAAAGAGGGGTTCGTACTAGAGCAAAGGGTCAGGCCACAGATTCATCTGGATATATCTCTGGGGGACTGAGGTTGACAGGACGGATCTCGCGGATAAAATCCTAGGCTTGACCTCAAAGTCCACTGACTCGATAGCAGAGATAGGATCGCCAGGCTAAGTCGTCAGATGAATATTTGTCATTCCCCAACTCATGCAAACCAAGCAGCGTCCCCTGGACAAAACGCCAGGGTTGGTTTTTGTTGGGTCGCACAAGCTGAGCAGAGCCGATCACGAAGCGTCTCTGTCCCCCCCGGAACGACACTGCACAACCCGCAATCATGAGTCCTCACACACAACTGCGTAGCTCGGGCCGCGACCTTCATCTGACCATGCCTTCAGCAAGCTTGGCTGCCACATGCTCATGGTCTCGGAAGCGCAACTGAAGGGGTCAATCTCGCACACCGATGCTGCAAACTCGACATTCGAATCATCAAAGACTATACAACTTAGGATAGATATGGGGGTTTCCGACATGAGGGTAATTACCTTATTGGGATCCTTCATACAAGGGGATTCTACATTCTACTATTTGAGGATCAAAATTTTGGGACCCCCCTGTTTTCGAAAGCCTCCAAAGAAGCCACCCCAGGACAGGGCCCACACACCCGCGCAATCCTCGACAGAGTGCAGGTCTTCAGCCACCTGAAACGGTGGAAAACCACTGGGACCTTGGGGACCAAGTGAGCCCGAAAAGGGTTTATGGTTCATATACCTTGATAGGGATTCGAGTAGTATAGGGGTATAGGACCCCTGATTTTTGGGTTCCCATGGTCTTCAAGAAAGACCAGCCCAGCAGTCGATAGCAGCCAGTGAAGTTATCGGACAAGGGTCCTGCAACGCCTGTACAATGTTCCAGCGGCCGCGGAGTCGGAAACTAAACAGAGATTTCACGGAAACTGGGAGATCGTGCTCGGGAAAAGGGCAACTAGAAATGCGACGAAATGCGGAGTCGGCAAACCGGAGCTGCGAATTCTAGAAGCCGATTCAATTCTTGTCGTCCCAAGCCCGTCATTTATGCATATGGCTGCTTCTGCCTGGCCTTGTCTTGTAACACTTGCTCATCGTGCCTGTTCACCTCGATGTGGCAAAGTCTCAAAATCTCATCGATGGGCAACGTCAACTGATATCATTGGACAAGAAAAGCCATCAAGACAGCGGCGTCCCCCTCAAGGGGGTCGCTTTCCAGATCTTCCTGCGAAATTGCATCTGCTGGATTCTGCTGGCTTTGCTTTGGACACTTGCAAACAGACACATGGTGATCCATTTGACAGCCATCGTTGGACAACGAGACACCTGGCTATACCTAGTTTGCAAGATCCACACCTTGTTCCGTGCCTCGGAGGTGTCTGGAGTGGAAGTTGAGCCTGCAACAGGCGCAAGCTATTTGAGCGAACTGCGCAAGCCGAGACACGTGCACGCCAGCAGAACGAACCTTCCGTGTCGCCTCCGAAGACCTGATTGCTTCTCTGGGAGCGAGAAAACGGAAGTAAGTCAAGGGGCTGAAGCTGAACAGCAAGCGCTCAGGACCTTAGCTTTCTTAGGGCAGCGCATCCTGTTGAGCATCTGGCCTGGAATTCAATGGCCACAAGAAGGCATTGGTGACTTCACGGCTGGCTTTCAGGGTCTCTTCTGGTGGCCGGGCGCATCATGGCACCTGCTTTTTCACACCTGGTGGCCTCGCGTGCCCAAGCTATGTAAATCAAGCCTTGGGGTTCCAGACCCGGAAGCCCCAACGTCCAAAAGCCCACAAGGGGCTAAGCGCATCATGAGCACCAGCGGCCTTGGCCCGTCCGCTGGCAGGGAGCGGCTCAGAAGCAGAAGCCATCTTATCATATAGCATTGTAGCATGCTTTGTGAAGTCGTCGATGCGATCCTACAACCCCTCTTTACCTCCAGCAAAGTGTGCATTGTTGACACCTTTTTGGGCTCTTTGGGGTGGGCCGGGAAGGCTTTCATCTCGTAGGCATGAGGCTCTGGCTCAAAGGCTTCGCTACTGCTGCACGAAAGCGTCCTGAGCACACTCTTTTTCTCTACGGTAGCTCGAGTAACTTTAAGTTTCGGAGAGCTGGATGCAGGTGGCCCGCAGGCAAGAAGGAATATATGTCCAGCGATCCTGGACCGTTGTGTCTGAACAATTTTAAAGCAAGGGGTGCTGTCATTGGGATGAGGCTCTTCCTGCCGACAGAACCAGTAAGCCTCAATTTGTTGTCGGGTTTAGGTGCTTCGGGCCTTCATCTTGGAAATATATTCCCCCCTCGAACCGGGCCAGTTTGATTGCCAAGGTTCGGCTTTGGGGTCGGCGTAGGCGCTTGGGCAACGAGGGTTCCCGCATCAGGAGCGTACCACAAGCCCAAAGAGGGGTGGGAATCATGAGAGTCCCCGAGCCCTTTGCAAGTTGCGACTGCTCCGAGCAAACTGCCCACAAAATGCGACTGCTGCATGATGACACGTGCAGGATGCTGGCATGGGTAGTGACAGGATGAATAAAGGCCACGACTGCCACGTCTTTTCATTGGCGAGCCATTCTTGCGACCTTTGGGTACACCACAAAGGCTCTACCATAGCACCAATGCCGACAGTACATTGTTAGGCAACCAGCAAGGTCCCCCGAACTCTGCAGCTGGGACCCGAGCCAAGATTCTGACGGGTAGTATGACGCAACGTCACAGTCCTAGCATTGCAGGCTGCTGTGCTTGAGACATGTTCTCTCCAAAGCCTGCAAAGTCTCTCACCATGATTCCAACCACCTTTTGGAAGGCAGCTGCCTGGACCAAAACAGACCAACACCATGAATCCCTATCCCCTCTTGAGAACAGACTGGGTGGGGCTGGGCGGCGAGGCTTTCCCAAAACCATACTTCTCAGTGAGTGTTGTACGGGGCGTGACTTTCGGGACTAATTTGATGTGGCTGTTTATCACAGTTCACATCCTCAAGTTCCCCGACACTGCTGAGCTAAACACCGGCAGCCCTGAGTCCTTCAAATGCTTTCCGTTTAAGAGTAACCTAGAAGCTCTGAAGACTCTGAACCCCAGACCCTGGCACTAGAACCTTCAGGGTTTGGCTCCACCCCCAAAACCCCACACCCTAACGGCCCTAATTAACAGGTTTGGGTGTGTCTTCAACAGGGGAAGCATTTAAATCATTCACGGTGTAAAGGGTGTAACAGTTTCGGCGCTTTAGAATTCAGGGCGCAGGGTTTCAGGGTTTGCCCCAAAATGCTCAGCCCACAAGCGCCTGGCCCCGATCACACAAAACACTATGCGCTTCAACCATGTGACTAGCTCACAGTCGTGTTTGACAATTTTCTTGGTTACAGCACCGTCACTGTAGGTGTGAAGCTTGCACATGAGCTTAGGATAGTCATGGCATGTCATGGCCATGGCTGGCCAAGCTTTTCATCAACTGAATGCAGCGGAAAATTGCAGTCCTCGGGCATTGAGTCTGCTTGCGGACTTGGAAGGGTCATACAGGAGTCATCAGCCTCGTGTCTTTTCATCTTGTTCATCGCTCGACGGCCGGCCCCCACAACCCCAGCCTGATTCTCGTCCTGCACGGTTGCAGGGTTCTTAAAGATCGCAAAATAGAACTGCAAGGCTGCAAGATGTGAGAACTGAAGCGCCCCAGTCCTGTTGGCTTCGAAGAGGCTTGGATCTGAGACCTACGAAGCATCCCAAACTTGCAAAGATATGCACTTTTCTCACGTTAGCTGTCCATGGTTGCCTTTCTGAAGCAAGCATTTCTCCCTCGCATCTATGAGGCTTTAACAATTAACATGCCCCCTGAGTGCCGAACTTTCCCAAAGTCTTTCGAAAGCCGTGAAGCAGCCTTAACTTGGCCGTTTTACTCATGTCCTCGAAGATTCGTGTGCCCTAAAGCGCCCTCGATAAGCCCTCTGCCGCGGAGGCTGCACAGCGTTTCCATCATGAGCAACAGCTCCAGAACTTGTTTGCGTTTCTCTGTACAACTGCGACCCAGCATGCATAGCAACCCAGCATATACATGGTCATCAATGAACATGGCGGCCATCTTCTCAAGTGGCTCGCGGCTTGCATCCCTTACATGGGCCCAGATTCAGAATGCCAGCAGGTCCGATTCATCTGAATGTGCACTTTCCTGAGGCTGTGAAAGGCCAAGAGCAACTACGCACAATACTCAGGCAATCTCCAATCAAGCACGTCAAAATTAAGCTCCACTGTAAGTGTTCGTTTTTTTCTTGCAGGTTCCCAAACTTTCGGGGTTTATCGTCGTAAATTCGTTAATCTAGGGGTCTTAACCAAAATGAAAAAAGCAAACGGAATGTTAAGCTCTGGGGTTTGCCGCACAAGAAAAGTTGGAGCTAAAATCACATGTCCCGATTTCTGATGACAACCAACAGCAAGACTGCAATCAACTACAATCGCCCCTGTTTCTCAGACCGTTGCCATGGCCCTTTTCTATATCACAATTTCCAGAGGGGTAGCGCTTGCGAATTCTTTTGCAAGGTGGTAGGGCAAGCCCCTCCGCAGTAGCGCTTGCGAATTTTTTTCCGAGGTGGCAGTAGGCGGTAGCCCGCCCGAATTTGTTTTATAGGTGGTGATGCCCCCTCGCGGTAGCGCTCACAAATTTCCTTCCAGAGTGGCTGGCCCTCCGCTGTAGCGCTCGCGAAATTTTTGTTCAAGGTGGTAGTAGGTGGTAGCCCCCCCGCGGTAGCTCTCGCGACATTTTTTTCCAAGGTGTTAGCTCCGACTTTGTACCAAGGTGGTAGGGCAAGCCCCCCGGGGGTCAGCGCTCGCGAATTTTTTTCCAAAGTGGCAAGCCCCCCCGCGGTAGCGCTCGCGAAATTTTTCCAAGGTGGTAGTATACTGCGGTAGCCCCGCGGTAGCGCTTGCGCATTTTTTTCAAGCTGGTATTGCCCCCCGAGGTAGCGCTCGCGAATTTTCTTCCAAAAAATAAAATCCCACAACAGAAGAAAATACAAAAAATACATTCAAATAAAAATGACATTCGGAAACAACAAAACTCAAAAAAAAAATCCGATACAAAAAGAAAATTCCTGAAAAAGTTAAAACAAAAAAAACTGAATTTGCAAAAAAAATCGAATTCCAAAAGAAAGTTAAACTTCTAAAAAAAATCAAATTTAAAAACAGAATTCCAACAAAAGTAAAACTCAAAGAACTTAAAATTACAACTAAGCCTTAAGCCCCAAGCCCTAAGCCCTGAGCCCTCAACCCTAAGCCCTAAGCCCCAAGCCCCAAGCCCCAAGCCCTAGAGCCCTCAACCCTAAGCCCTAAGCCCCAAGCCCCAAGCCCTAAGCCCCAAGCCCTAAGCCCTAAGCCCTAAACCCTCAGCCCTAAGCCCTAAGCCCCAAGCCCTAAGCCCTAAGCCCTAAGCCCTAAACCCTAGGCCCTAAGCCCTAAGCTCTAAACCCAAACCCAAGGTTCCAAAAAAGTTTCCAATAAAATCCTTAAGCTTCCAAAAAAAACCTTAAGGTTCCAAAAAAACCTTAAGCTTCCAAAAAAATCCTTAAGGCCCGAAAAATTCCTTAAGGTCCCGAAAAATTCCTTAAGGTCCCGAAAAATTCCTTAAGGTCCCGAAAAATTCCTTAAGGTCCCGAAAAATTCCTTAAGGTCCCGAAAAATTCCTTAAGGCCCCGAAAAATTCCTTAAGGCCCCGAAAAATTCCTTAAGGTCCCGAAAAATTCCTTAAGGTCCCGAAAAATTCCTTAAGGTACCGAAAAAATTCCTTAAGGTCCCGAAAAAAGCTTAAGGTTCCAAACCGGATGGAACCTTAAGGATTAAGGCCAAAAAAGCAGAGCCTAAATCAGGTTTTTTTTTAGGGTTTTCATTGAAAAAAACCTGATTCAGGCTCTGCTGTTTTTTCAAGTTGGAAAAAAAGCAGAGCCTAAATCAGGTTTTTTTCAATGCAAACCTTAAAAAAACCTGATTTAGGCTCTGCTTTTTTCGCCTCAATCCTTAAGGTTCCATTTGGTTTGGAACCTTAAGCTTTTTTCGGGACCTTAAGGAATTTTTTCGGTACCTTAAGGAATTTCTCGGGACCTTAAGGAATTTTCGGGACCTTAAGGAATTTTTCGGGACCTTAAGGAATTTTTCGGGACCTTAAGGAATTTTTCGGGACCTTAAGGAATTTTTCGGGGCCTTAAGGAATTTTTTGGAAACTTAAGGATTTTTTTGGAACCTTGGGTTTGGGTTTAGAGCTTAAGGCTTAGGGCTTAGGGCTTAGGGCCTAGGGCCTAGAATTTAGGGCTTACGGCTTAGGGCTTGGGGTTTAGGGCTTAGGGCTTAGGGCTTAGAGCTTAGGGCTTGGGGCTTAGGGCTTAAACCTTAGGGCTTGGGGCTTGGGGCTTAGGGCTTAGGGCTTAGGGCTTAGGGCTTAGGGCTCAGAGTTTTGGGCTTAGGGCTTGGGGCGGGCTTAGGGCTTAGGGCTTGGGGCTTGGGGCCTAGGGCTTAGGGTTTAGGGCTTAGGGCTTGGGGCTTAAGGCTTAGTTGTAATTTTAACTTTGTTCAGGAGTTTTATTTTTTCTTCTGGAATTCTCATTTTTGGTTTTAGTTCTTATTGTTTTTTTGTTTTTTGGAATTTCAATTTTTGTTGAGTTTTATGTTTTTCGAAGTTGATTTTTCAATTTTAATTTCTTTCTGAATTTTGATGTATTTTTCGAATTCTATTTTTTTGGCATTTTTGAATATTTTCTAATTCATTTTGTTCCTTACTCCTTTTCAAACAACTCGTTGGCTGGCCGGCTGGTCATTCAGAACTTGCGGAAGCGGTTTGCCAAGCCATGGGCACTTTGACTTTGAAGTCTTGCTTGTCCTTTCGGCTGTATGTCTGGCTGATTTTTGCATTACCCTGCAGATTGTGGCATGGGCATACCGATAAATGTAAGGAATAAGGATCATAGGCTCAAACCCTCCAACAAGAAAAGGAAATGTTCATCCCAAACCTCGCAGAAGGGCAGAAGTACGGCATAAACCCACGAATGAGAAGGCAACAACCGACAGTCAACAGTCAACAGAACTCTCGACCCCAAGTGAGATAAAATCCTCATATCTCCCGAGGTCCCGGCCATAGGTTCAAAGAGAAAGAACTATAGCCGTGCCGTGCTTCTGATTGTTCTTGAACCACGGCATGGAATCTCGCGTTCACAGAATTCACAGCATGCTCGCCAAAGCCAAGGAACGAAAGTGCTTATCAACCCAAAACCCAATTACTCCCCAAAACCTTCGCTTTTCTTCTCCCGGCAACCAAAAATGGGCAAAAGGGGCCATGCAAGGAGAACGTAAACATGTTGGGTTTAGTTTCTTGATGTCGAAATCTGGTACAGTGATTTTGGTCAGCAACAAACAAGTTCGGCAACCCGCCCGAGCTTAAGGCGCCGATCGCTTTCGAACCACCCTAAATTAACGAATTTACGAGTTTATCGGTAAAGCATTGCCCAGCAGCCAACATCGAGCTAAAAGATAAAGGTTCGTACACTCTTGTGGCAGCACCAAAGAGCACCAACGTATACCACTACATTCATATATATATATACTACTATATACTACTATATATACTGCTACTGCTACTACTACTACTACTACTAATACTGCTGCTACTACTACTACTACTACCACTACTACTGCTGCTGCTGCTGCTACTTCTACTTCTACTTCTACTACTACTACTACTACTACTACTACTACTACTACTACTACTACTACTACTACTACTACTACTACTACTACTACTACTACGCGCAAACTGTTCCGTTTGCCCGCGCACTTGTTCTGCGGACTTCGGGAGGGCTACGTTTTGTTGGCACGCGCGTACAATTCGGGCTGTGCGCAGAGGAGGGCAGTCGTTGCCCCAGTTACGCGGACGAGCAATTCGCTTCTTAAAAGGACGACTGTCTCGAGGATTCTGCGTGCGCGCTATTTGCATTTGAAACTCTGAAACCCTAAAAGGAGTGGTTGGGTGGGAAACCCTCAAACCCTAAAAGAGGTGGTTGGGTGGGAAACCCTGAAACCCTAAAAGGAGTGGTTGGGTGGGAAACCCTCAAACCCTAAAAGGAGTGGGTGGGAAACCCTCAAACCCTAAACGGAGTGGTTGGATGGGAAACCTTGAAACCCTAAAAGGAATGGGTGTGTGGCAAACCCTCCAAACCAGAGGAGAGCAACAAGAGTTCTGGGCGCACCGACCATTTTGGGCGTACCACTACTACTACTACTACTACTACTACTACTACTACTACTACTACTACTACTACTACTACTACTACTACTACTACTACTGCTTCAGGCAAAGGACGCCATGTTGGCTCGGCTTACAATGCCTACAATGAGTCGGGTGGTTTCGCAACGACTTGCTCTTGCCAGGCGAAGCTTGAAGTCCAAAAAATGCGGTAACTTCTGGGAACCAGTCTGTCTAGCGCACGCAAGACACAAAAGAAACCGAACATCGAGCTTCCCAACTTTGGACGGAGGACGGTGGTTCATCACGCGCAGCATATGCGAGAAAAACCCAAGGAGCTTAAATGTCACTGAATCCTGGCAAAACAGTAGCTGGCTTAGAAAGTCGTGCATACAGCTGAACATGAAACTGCCCCTGAACTTGCTAATTTCAAACAAGTTCATCGCCTTTCGCCCTCCGAGGCTTCCACAAAAGAGTGGTTCAATACACACCGATAGGAAAACTCGACTTGTCGGCGTGCATGTTTTTCCTTGCCGGGCCACAGAAGCGCGGAGAGAAACACTTGGCATTCACATAGCGTGCTAGGAAATTCCGCATGACGTTGGAAGTCCATGCATCGCCGGGGTGGATTATACGGTGATTGATTTGAAAACTGATGGTTCAGGAGTTGGGGAGCAAGCCGCAGGCTTCAGGTTTTTTGTCGGCGGGCCTCGTAGACTGCATCCGCAGTGCTCGGTCCCTACAAGACGCTGAACAAACTCACAAACTACCAAGGTGAAACCAGACGTAAAAGCAGCAAGAGGCCGCATGTT